AATTTCACCAAACTTGGGGAATATTATAAAATCTAAAGAAACTACCGGCGGACGATGACTTACTTAAGTTTTACAAAGATCTGCATTTGAAATTAAAAATAGAAAATAATTGCGATACTAACGGCGCAGAATTTTTTGACGAATTAAAATCGGCATCCACCCTTTTGCCTAAAGATAATTTTGGACGTACTCTAAATATCTTGAACTTTATAAAATCCTGTGGATTGCAAAATGTGGTTCCAAATATTTGGATTTCATTAAGAATAATGCTTACTATACCAATTACTGTTGCAAGTGGTGAGAGAAGTTTTAGCAAATTAAAGCTAATAAAAAACTTTTTACGATCTACTATGAGTGACAAACGATTGAATAACTTATCTATATTGTCCATCGAAAATGAAATAGCAACACAATTAGACATAACCGAAATAATTAACAACTTTGCCGATTTAAATGCTAGAAAAATTAATTTTTTGTATTGTATAAATTGGTTACTGTTTAGTTTAACAAATAAATGACTTATAATTTATAAAAATGCAATTCATAAAAGGCGCAATTTTAAGCCGTGCCCGGGCGCTAGAATACCTCGGCCTGATGCTGAAAATGGTCAAAGTGGAATAGACCTAAAATGACAAGTATACGGGTCCGTTATTTCACATATTTAAGTCATCTCATGTTTTTTAAAATTTTTTAAACAGATGGAAATTGTTTCACACATTTCAAGCTGGTATTCTAAATATTATTTAGACAAGTACTAATATCGAACCCATTGATAAATTGCGATTCCCACAATGGCTACTGAAACGTTTGAAGCTTTTTAAAGCTTATTAAAAAAAAAAATTCATACCTCAAAGAGTATAATATGTATAGTTTTTCTATATGTATATAGTTAGTTTTCTGCCACTTACTAAAAAATATTCAAGTAAGGAATAAGTATAGAAAAAGTCAATTTTACGGATCTGGACAACTAGTTATTATTATTTCAATATTCTTGTTTTACAAGTAAAATTAACAAAATATAAATAAATGAGAAGAACGACAGGAACAAGTAGAAATCTTGTCTTCAAGTAACTATTATTAGCAAAATGTATTTTTTGCAAATTTCTCATTATATAAATTTACAAGTACTAAATGTATAAGTAAGTTAAATAATACTACAATAAAAAACAGTTGCAAGTTGTAACAATAAATAAAAGTTGCAACAATAGAATATATTCTCAATCTATAGATAAAGTAAAAAATATAACAAGATTTTTTTTTAGTTAGAAGTAATTGATTTTAGTTAAATTTTATTTGGTTAAATGACATGAGCAGGTCTTTTGTTGCAAGGTTTCTAGACATCAGGTGGGTTAAACCTTCCTTTAAATTAGCAAACAGTGTAAAAATGGTTCTTTTTTATATGACGATTTATTAGTCCAGTAAAAGTGAATTCTGGCTCACTGTACAGTGTTTGGATGATTCCATTTTACATGGGATTGCTTTAAAAGTGTAATTTTACGATCATTTAAATCCAAGCAAAATTTAACACTTTGATTATATTTGTTTAAGATTTCATATAAATAATTTTAGAATATCGTCAGAGTATTTTAAAAAAATGGTTATTATTATTGTTATTTTGCATTGGACAACAAAAAAAGTTTGCTAGCTGTTTTTAAATTAAGTTGTTTAACTTAGTTGATTAAGCAGTGTATACACTCCTTAATCAACTTAGTTTGTCGTATGTTCAAATTAACCATATTTCTGAAAAGTCTCATGACTTTTAACAAAATCAGATGGTAAAAAACCATCTGATTTTGTTAAAAACAGAAAGTCTAGATCACAGGTGGAGTTTTAAAAATAAAAGGCTATACAGTTAATTTCTTTTGTATACTGGTCTCTATGCACTGAAGATACAAATTAAATTAGCAGAATCAATGCATTGATGCTATTAAATTGCTTTGGATGACTGGATTATTAAGGCTGTGGAGTATTATGGTCCAACATTCATAACATACAATTTACATAACCTTATTCATTTTTTATAGTTTTCTGAATGATTGCTTCTTGATATGTCTGCCTTTTTATTAAAAAAATTATTGGCTTTGGTAAGAAGATGCCACTTGGTCAAATAGTCAAGGGTTTAAGTGAAATATAAGTAGTTCGGATTGGAAGAAAAAACACCTAACAAAGTAATCATTAGTCTTAAAGAGAGCTATTTATAAAAACAATTTTTGATTCTTTGCTTAGTGAAAATGTCCCATTTCAGTTTCTTTATTTACCATGCAATTCATGTTATAGAAAAATATATTGCCAAAATAACACTTGTAAAAAAATAACTTTCCAGAAATCTGAACTCAAAGATATTTTATATCTTTTGAGGGTAAAGCTAGACATATTTTTTTTCCATTATTTCATGAATGTGTGTTTTAAATTAACTTTGTTTATTTATTCAATTAAAATTATTTTGGAGGCAATTTCATTAGTTTTGCATTTTATTGAGGTATTGTTTATTCTATTTCAGATAATGTTGCTAAACGATTTACAGTCGATAATCTTTCAAAAGCAGAAAAACTCAAATAGAAAGTTAGCGCAATTTCTGGTATTTGTGGTATTTCTATTTGTTTATTCCGAATGTTTTTTATTTAGTTCTTAAAAATGCTTTTAATTGGATTTGTTTGTAACTTTATGTTTCTTCATATATATTTGTCTTTTAGTGTCAAACAAAAAATACGCGAATTATTTGAGATATGATTGAAATTTGCAAAGAAAGTAAAAATCAAACTAGTTTCATTCTAAGTTATTGTATATAATTTTAAAATTTTGGAATAGAAGTGATGCAATGTTTATTTATTTTTAGTCTTTTAATTTCCGTATTCAATTATTTGCCCGGACTAATATAATAATCGTGTATAACCTAAATAAATAAGAAGAAATATAGCTTGACTGCGCAAAGTTATACAGTGTAAAATTGTCCTTTATTGTTTTTTGCAGTGTAGAAATAACATCAAAAATGATAGAAAAACGTTGGAGGGTGTTTTTCTTACAACGTTTCGCAACATTGTTAATATAACGTTGACCTATGTTTCATATATGCCATTATTCTAACGTGTATAAAACGATAGAAAAGACGTTGGCTCAACGTCATTTTAGCTAAAATATAACGTTAGCCTTACGTCCTTATAACGTCTTCAAATTTAACGTTGCTCTAACGTTTTTCCGACGTTATTTAGCTAAAATGTAACGTTGTCACCACGTCATTTTACATCGTTGTAATAACGTTAGTAAAATGACGTTTTTTCGGTGTTTCATTTATAACATCATGCCAACTTCTTCCCAACGATACGAAAAACGTTAGAACAACTTTGTTCCGACGTCATTTTTCTTATTGGGTAATAGGCATGACATTGGCATAAAACCTGTTTCTTTGCTCTGTTCTGAAAAAACTTTATAATTTAAAACTTCGAAGCATCTTATTTTTTTATTAATAAAATTAACATTTTTCTGCCTAAATTGAATCAGTTACGTATTTATAGACCCGTCTTGTCTTGCTGAACCAACGTTAATCCATACACATTGAAACAACGTCGGATTTTATACAGTGGATCAACGTTGTGTTTGCATTGTGAAAAGGAAGATATACAAATAAATACTTGTATAATTTATGAGAATTACTTTTCATTCAAGTATTTCAGTTTATTATGGAAAATATTTGCTTATATTTATCTTTCTTATATAACGAAGTATCAAGCCACAAGCAAAAAAAATATAAATAATGCCAACATAAAGTACAACGTTGTGCCAACGTAAAATAGAACGTTTAATCAACGTAAAATATTACACTAGCTGACTTAAAATGAAATGTTGGGCTTAAAATGCAATGTTTGGTCATTATATGTTGGGCTAACGTTGTTTTTTAGTTGTTAACAAAGTCGCATATTTAACCAAAATGATAAAAAAACAACTTTGGTGGTCGATGTTGGGCCAACCCAACGCGTAACATTGTTCTAACGTTTTATCAACGTATGTGTGCTAGCTGGGTAGAATTGTGGCATATATTTTCTCAGCTTTATTTAAATCTGGTGAGTAAAAAAGCAAAAGTAAATTATAATTGCGAAGTGACAATAAAAAAAATCCAGTCAATAGTTACTATAATTATTAATTTTTTATTATTCACCATCATAGACTAGCCTAATTCTTTAATCTATGGTATACGTCTTAACAAAGTTTGTAATGTAACGTTTCCTCAGATGTAATGTCGTAGTGGATACAAACTTGTTTATATGATACTGATGGTTAAAAGTAGAAAATTTAATTCCATAACTTCATCAAGAATATTATTTAATTGAATATTCACAACACTTTCAATTTCATCAAAAATATTTAATTCATTTTAATGCAGGTTTTTCATTGAATGACATACAGACTTTTTATTAAACAAATATAATATGCTAAAACCATTAAAATTGAAAAAAAAAATATTGATTAATGATTTAAATAATATCTGTCAATAAAAATAAAAATTAATGATTTAAATAATATCTGTCAAGTTGTTGGTGACTGTAGATAAGAGGGCATTTTAAAAGCTTTTCAAAATGCCCTCCGCATTTTGAAAATTTTAACCATGGGCTTCTCAACTGTGTAAGCTAAGTGAAAGTAAAAAGTCATCTACTCAACAAAGATCTTTGTTAAAAAGCCATGTTATTTCTAGTGTATTAAAAAAAATCATAAATATTCTGATCAGATACTACTTTGCGATAAAAATTTAAAAGATCACGGCTTCCAACTTAAAGAAATTAGAAGTAAAAGGTCCGTTTTTAACCTGATTTTTATAAACAATCCGGATTACACCAACTTATTGAATAAAAGTACAATGAAGGTAAGAAAATTTTTTTCAAAAATTTGTAAATTTTCTTACAAGCAAAATCCAAAGTTTTTCTACTCTTACATATTTTATACTTTTACAGCACTTTTATATTTATTATTTTTGAGTCAAATATGTTGAAACTAAAGATATTTCATACCAAATTGAGTTGAAAAGTTTCCTTTCTTTTCAGGAACCTTAAATTCGTTTTCCGTTTCAATTATCTTCCACATATCAACTAAAAAATATGGCAAAAAGTAAAAAAAGGTTGAAAAAGAATTTTAAAATTTTAAAAAAAGATATTACATACTTAACATTTTATCACCTGAATATTATACGTTAAAAATATTATATTAACGATAAAAATGTCATGCTTCACTATATTTTTTATAAGTTATATCATTAATATATGTCATGCTTCAAGACTAATCTTAAAGGTCAACGTTTTTATGACGTAAATTTAAACTTACATGTCATAACAGAAAAGACGCATGATGCCAATATTAAAGTTGATTGGTACAGCCAAAACATACTTATACCTAAAAGGTTCGGACTTTTTTATAAAACATATAAAATATTAAATACACGGTTAAAACACTACGCTGTTAAAACACTGCACGGTTAAAACATGCTACTTTTAAAGTAAATTTTAAATCATTTTGTTTCAATGTTTTATATTTGTCATATAAATATTATTCATATTGTATCATATATTGAATGTAACAATATATATATATATATATATATATATATATATATATATATATATATATATATATATATATATATATATATATATATATATATATATATATATATATATATGTATGTATGTATGTATGTATATATATATATATATATATGTATGTATGTATGTATGTATGTATATATATATATATATATATATATATATATATATATATATATATATATATATATATATATATGTATATATGTATGTATGTATGTATATATATATATATATATATATATATATATATATATATATATATACAGGTTTTGGGGGTCTCTCGGACCCAATAGCCACACCACCGTATATATATATATATATATATATATATATATATATAACAAAATATAATATAAATAATATTAATATGACATGAATAATATATATATAAACCGTGGTGTGGCTATTGGGTCAGAGAGACCCCCTAAAACCTGTTTTAAAGGCCTCAAAATCTTTAAACATTTACATTAGGTATTATTAAAATAATTAATAAAAAACTTCTTACATTTGCAAAAGAGCCCCTCAATTTGAAAATAGGCCCCCTAAATTTGTTGCTCCTCCCCCCAATTGGGGTGTGTGGGAGAAACTTGTCACGACTATATATATATATATATATATATATATATATATATATATATATATATATATATATATATATATATATATATATATATATATATATATATATATATATATATATATATATATACATATAAATAATATATTATGAATATGAAAAGAGTAAAATGAAATAGTTAAGAGATTTAATTGACTACCTGAAAGAACTTTTTTCAATTTCTGAATTTGAAGTATACAAAGCAAATCAAAAACTTATTATAGTTTTTTAAAAAACTTTATATAATAAAAAAAGAAAACTATTTTATTCTACCCTTACTTTTTCTAAGCAAAATGTCAAACGACGGTTACCCGTCGTTAGGTATTTTGCTTGAAATTAATTGGAAATTATTGGCTTTTGGAAAAAGTTAGTTAGGAACTATTTAATAATTGCAATGAGAGATGTAATGCATAGTATAGTTTTATCTGTTGTTTGTTTTTTCTTAAAAGTATATTAGTATTCAAATTTTAGAGGAATAATGTAGGGTAGTTACAGTAGGGTGTTGCTTTTAAATTTTGCAACTAAACAAAAATTGACTTTTATGCTGATTTTAAAGATAAAAATCCAACGGGGGTTTTTTAGGATTTGGTATCTTATCTTGAGGTATTGGTATATACTATCATGTTGCTAAAGTAGATATCCCCTCAAAAGGGTCAATACAACCATTTCCCGATGAGAATCTGGTATTGACACTACATAATTCACAATTTTACACAACACGGATGTATTTTTAATTTATTCTTTTTATATTTTGCGCCCTTCTCCTCCTATATTATTTATTTTTAATTTTCATGATTTATTTTAATTTAATTTCTTTTGATTTATATAATTCATTAAAATATTTTTTATAGACAATCGGCATATGTTTCAGAATATTTATACCATTTTTATTAGCATTTTTTTTCTTTCTAAATTTTGCTAACTAGTGTCTTTGTTTTTACATTTTAGTTTCCATATTTGAATTCCAGATATTTTACACAAAAAGATTATACTGTCTGTAGTTAAATATTTTCTTATTCTTAAATCTCTGTTTTTTAATTTTAAGTTAAATTTTGATTTTATTATTGCAGATTTTTTTAGGAAAAGCTAATGTTGTTAAAGCTTAAAACTAATTTATTATAATTTAAAAAAAAAATATATTAAATGGTCTATTTGATTTCATAACTTTTGAAAAACTGCCTTTTTAACTGCCTGCCCAGGCCAAAACCTTAACCGATGAGCATCGAAAAAAATATTGGATTTGAAATATCGCGAGAAGAGACGTCGCCATCTTTTACTTTTGTTCACGTTTTCTTCAAGTATCGTCGTTGAGAGGTAAATACAATTTTGTCAACTTTTTCATCTTATTTTTTAACATTATATTTTAAGAAGCAGCTTCTTTGTAATTAAAGCTTTGAATTAAATATATTATTGTTCCTGAATGATATTATATATTAAGTAATTAAGGCTCTTATATATTCATGAGCTTTGCTCTGCTTTGCCAGTCTTTGCTCTGCTCTGCCACTTTGGGATGGGCAGCAAATGCCACGTCATTTGCTGCCCATCTTAAAACAGGCCCAAAGAAAACGTATTTCTAAACAACGAGGAAAAACAGCTATTTTGACTTCTTCGCCTTATAAAAGATCATTAATGGAAGCCAAAGAAAAAAAGAATCCAAAGAAAAACAAATCTGTCAAAAAATCAAATGAAGACGCGCCATGCCTCTATTGTGAGGATCTTTATTTCAGCAGCACAGAGAGTTGGGTCTCATGTACTGAGTGCCACAGATGGGCCCATTATTCTTGTGCAGGCATTGATGAAAGAAACAAAAAACCTTACATTTTGTGTGAGCTATGTACTAGCAGTGATTGATTATATTTGTACTAGCAGTGATTGATTTATTATATTTGTTTGAGTTCCTCCTTTGACCCCATTTTGCCCCATCCATTACCCCGTTTTGCCCCATGCTTGGGATAAAAATGGGTTTTTATATTATTTTTAAAAAAATGTAATAAATCAATTAATTTACATTCTTTTGACTTGCTGTTTTGTTACAATGTTGTCTATGTTGTATTCTGATACTTCAACATTTATTTGTAATCATTTTATTTATTTTTGTGACTTTTATAGGGTTTCATTCTTAAGTACCCCATTTTACCCCAGTTTCCCCTAAGTATACTCCACTGCCCCTATCTCTATTTAAATCAGTCGATGGATGTACACTCTAACTTTTAACTAAATCATAAAGTAAACATAAATAATAATTGTGCATAAGAATTAACCAATTAAAAGTTTTCATTATTTTAGACTCGCCTCCATTCCACTATCACCCTGTAAATGATTCAATTACAAATATTTCTTTCTCTGATTTTCAAATATTTGTCATCTTTTATTTCACTTAACACTTACTCCATTTTTTTTTCTCTCTCTCTCAGGAGTTTATTTTGTGAGTTTTTTTTTACGTCTAATACAAAAAACTTGGTATTGAGTCAATTTGATAAAATCATTAGATATTTTTCAGATTAATTTCAAGATCTAGTGACTACATAGAATAAAAACTATTTTTAATAAAAGTGTAGAAGTAATTTTACTAAAAAAAGTAATTTTTAATTAAGTAATTTAGTAAATTTACGCTATATTCATTATCTTAATTAATGGTTTCGCTTGAACATCTGTTTAAATTTACGTTAACTCCGCCATCTTTTAGTTTCGTCCGGACATTTAAGCTTGCGTAATAAATAAAGTAACACTTAAATCTATTATTCCCTAGTTTTCACATCTGAACTTTGTTCTAAGAATCTTTTTTTTGTTTCTTTGTTTTGTTTGTTTATTATTATTATTATTATTTTATAAGGACAAATAATATCGAGTTGTTTAGTTTTTCAAAGAAATAAAAACAAAAAATGAATTAAAAGAATATAAAGATATTTTACCTTTTCAGTTTCTTTTTTATAGCAAACAACAAAGTTAATTTTATAACATGAAAATTATTAAATCATTCAATCAGATTGTAATGACAAAAATTTAAAAATTTGTTTATTATGTTACACGATATGTTTTAAAATGTTATTTACTATTGTTTATTATGATATGTTTTAAAATGTTATTTACTATTGTTTATTATGTTACATGATATGTTTTAAAATGTTATTTACTATTGTTTATTATGTTACACGATATGTTTTAAAATGAAATATGATACTTTGTGATAGATGGTAGTTTGATGAGTGAGGTTTTAATAGGAACAATCATAATAGTATATCTCATAAAATATACTAAATATTAAGTATATTAAACTAACTGATTTTATTTCACTTGAGTTTTAATATAATATAATTCTACGAACAATGAGTTAGTGACTATCCTAATATAATAAAATGAGATAAATGACGGCAAAAAAACTAGCAATCTAAAGCTAATACAATAAAAATTAAAACTTAAAAATGACTATTTTAATTCAATACTTTTTATTTTAGCTCAATACTCTGCAAACATTCTAAAGAGGAATTTCAGTGGATCTATTTAGACATTTTGAGCGGGTACTGAGTTTTGCACATTTGTTACTTAGTAAACCATTAGCGGCAACCGCCAAAATGGACTAGCCACGCTATCAAATGTGGGAAAGTTGTTGGCTGGTTACTTGTAGCAAATGTCGCTAATGGTCCAATAACTAACCAATTAGCAAAACTTCAATAAACCACTTAAAATATCTATGTAGGTGCACTGCAAATCCACTACAAATATGTTTGCTAGGTACTGTCATATTTTAGCAACACAAAACTTTTATACCACTTACAAAAATAGTTTATAAAAATTTTGTATAGAGAATAAAAACCACACAGAAAATTAGTTAGGAAAGCGAATAAACAAAAATATGTTATTATTATTATTAAATTAAATATTAGAAATTTTGCAAATTGAAAATAATAAAAACTGGAATTTATTTCATGTTTTATACAAATTTTAGGTATTTTTATTTGAGCTATTTTAACATTTTACTTTTCCAGTTACATATACCAACGGTATGCATCTTATTAACATTTTACTTTTCTAGTTACATTTACTAACGGTATACATCTTATTAACATTTTACTTTTCTAGTTACATATACCAACGGTGTACATCTTATTAACATTTTACTTTTCTAGTTACAAATACCAACGGTATACATCTTATTAACATTTTACTTTTCTAGTTACATATACCAAGGGTATACATCTTAACATTTAAAGAAGGCAACCTTACAATGAGTTGTTGCGTTTAAGCGGGAATACTGGTAAACAAAATAATGAGCAGTTGATAAACATATTAAGAAATAAATAAAAATTGAAATGAATCAAAGGCAGAACACAGTATTTTTTTCTGATTCGTTTGACAAACATCGTCTTGTGGTTCGGATGACAGCTTTGATTATGCAGAACAAAAAGAAAAAAAACTACAAAACTCGTGATCAGTACTTCAGATATTAAAAAAAAAGTTATTTTGAAAAATTTTCAAAATTAAATTTTCATAAGTAAAAAAAAGAAGTTAAAAGATAAACTACTATAGAGAGTCTAATATTTTCTATATAGGGATATCTCCTGAGCATATGGTGGTAGTTTGGACTCCATATCTCAGGAGGTATGGTGACCAAATTAAAAGCAAACTTATATTGTTTATGTTTGTTAGTCGTTGTACATCATGTTACCATAATAGTACATATAAACTTGCTACAAATATAATTTTTTATAAAAGTATACTATCACTAAGGGCCGTCTCTAACGTTAGCGGCCCCAGGGCAAATGTAGTTGTGGTGTTCCCTTCCCTCGAGTAATAGTCGCATATATAAGCTTTTTGTACTGTTTCTTATAATACTTTAATACTAACACCACCAACCAATCTACAATAAGGATAAATATATATACTCAATTTAAGGGCTGTGAGTTAAGGAAATCAAATAGTTTAAAAAGCGTGATTCTAAATAAAAACTTAAATTACTAACAAATAGGTAAATTTATATAAATGTTCTTCAAGATTTTCCGACGGAAAATTTTTCAATAATTCTTTTACAGTTGAGTTTTTTCGCCTCTTCGTTTTTGATGAAAAGTTTTGCAAGCGATGTCAATCTTTCTTGCGTCATTGGTGTACGTATGTAAGTTGTAATTAACTTCATCCGGTCACTGTCACTGGAATTGTTTGCAAAGTGCGTAATTCTATTCAAAGATAAATAATTTTTTCTGTTGGTACTTTTGATTATATTGAGTGAAAAAGGGGTGAGCCCAATAGATGAACTGCTTAACTATGCGTGGAGACTTAACAGATTGGAATAAAAAGTCAATATGTCAACAAAGACTGCTATAATAAACTTGCCGCGGCGCCCCAGCAAGCTGCCATACGACGCCCGGGACAGCTTGCCCTGGATCCCCCCTCCCTAAAGAAGGCCTTACTATCACTACGACAACAACATAAACAATGTTTTCGTCAAAACCATATAAAAATAAATGAACTTAACTTGAGTCAAAAAATTAAGTTTAGCATAAATCGTTATAAGTAAAATAATAAAAACTATCAGGACTAGTATTTGAGAATGTTATTAAGTTATCGAGTCATTTGAAATGTTATAAAATATTATCAGATTATCGAGTCATTTGATATGTTATAAAATATTATCAGATTAACGAGTCATTTGATATGTTATAAAATGTTTTCAAACAGACATGTTATATTTGTGCATGAGGGATGCATAATTATAAGATAAAACATTTCCTACCACGTTAAAACAGAAACAGATTTGTTATAGCTGCGTAAAATAGCTTGAGAATTCTGTTTAAAAAAATTGCTAAAACATTGAAATAGTTTTGCTTGACGTCAGTTCATCTTTTTATAGCTTTTATAACTTTCAGTGAGTCAGATATATACATATATTTTAGAACATTGAGCACTCTATTTTGTAAAATACATTCTAAAATTGTTTATATATATATATATATATATATATATATATATATATATATATATATATATATATATATATATATATATATATATATATTAATCAAATAAATTTATCAGAGATATGTAACATGAAAGTAGCTGAAAAATTATATGTCTCAAAATCAAAATCAAATCAAATCAAATATATTCTGAAATAAGTTGTTTAATATTTCAAGGATATTTACAATAGTACGAGTAGCAATATAAAGCAAATACCTAACAAATAAAACATCAATATAAACAATTAGGAAGATAATAATATTAATAATAATATTATATAAATAGTGTAAATCAATATGAATAACTAGGAAGATAATAATATTAATAATAGTATTATATAAATAATATAAACCATTCGTATATAAACATTAAATCAAACATCAAAATATATGGCAATAATACCTTTATATAATAAAAATATATAGTAAAATAAAAAATATATAGCAATAATAAGAAGTAATGGTAGTAAAAAAAATAAATAATAAAAATAAAACAAAAATAGTGTTAAGATAATATTACTTTATTAGTATAAATATATTATTACTATTATATAAAAATATAATAACGACAAAAATAATATGAATAATAACCATAATAGAAATTGCATATAGATAGAGATTGTAGAAAGATGTCGTGAATAACAATGATGATAGTAACAAGATAGAGACGAATGATATAAGATCAATAGATGAAATAAGATCAATAGATAATAAAGATGAATAAAGATAAGTTCTCATGAATAACGCAATGATAGTAACAATAAAAATGTTTGCATGTGTTTATATATATGTGTGTGTGTATGGACATAATTTTTAAATTTTATACTATAATACTAGAAAGTACTTCTAAATTGTGTTTACTCGCAGAGCTTAACTACAGCATTTGTAAATTAAATGCTTATGAAAAGGTTAGTCATTATATGACATTTTCTATTTACTATACAGTTGTGTCATTAAACCTTCTAGCACACTGTAGAACTAAAAAGTGCATAGCCCATACTATTTAAAAAACGAAATTAAATTTAAAAACTTTTTCAAGTGATCCGAAAAATCTAAAATTCTAGTGGCAAAGATTTCTAGAATTTACGTAGTTTACAAGCTAACACAAACCTCGACATTGCTTTCATTAATTGCTTAAAATTTTTTATAATATTTTACATCGCACCAAACATTTAATATTTTGTCAAAAAATTGAGTTAGCGAGGTATCACGGCGATTTCTTTTGCCTTAATAACTCCATTAGCTTTATTTTGAGAAATACGAAATTTGGTCCAAAACGTCCGCAATTTTTTTTTTTATGAAAAGTTGCAAAAAACTACCATCTTAATCATTTAATTAGGGCTATATATATATATATATATATATATATATATATATATATATATATATATATATATATATATATATATATATATATATATATATATATATATTAATGCATTTTTGTATGTTATGTATTTTTAAGTGTAAATATATATCGTGTTTTTTTTATAAAATCTGCTCTTTAAAAGCTATATTGATATTGAAATTCAATTTATTTAAAAAACTAGTACTAAAACTAGAAATTATCAGCTGGATAGACTAAATGACGGTTTCCCTAACTATCAATGTTATTACTTATAAAGATAAATTTCATTTGGATTTCAAATTCCAGTTTTCAACTATGTTTAAATTACAGTTAAATAGTAGTTTTAAACAAAATAGACATAAAATCACTGATTTTTTTTAATGAAATACGTATATATTTACGACATCAGTCATAAGAAGGTATATGTTGTAAACTGGAGTTTTAGATATACACATTATGAACCCATGTGAGAATTTTTAGATCATAAGATACATCAATGATAGTGCCGCCAAATGTTGTCACGCCGCCAGGGACAGTAATCCTGATTGGCGCCATTATTTATCAAACTTTACCTATATTATATATAATGGACCTATTTTTTTTTTAAGGTACCTACATTTCATTTGGCGCCCCTAGGAAATATGCCGCCCGGACAAACTGTTCCTCGCGACCTCCCTCTCTCTCGGCGGCACTGATCATCATGGATGGAGTCTATCTATGAGTTTGATAGTAAGTTATTTTATTGATAAAAAGATAGTTAAGAAACCGTTATGAATTTTTTAATAGGTTATTCGGAGAAAATTAAATTACTTGGCGCGTAAAAATCAAATAATCTGTTTTCGTTACATCCGTATCCCAAATTTCTTAAATCATAGTAAGTGGGAGAAAATCAATCAAATAAAAATCGCCGTGTATTGTTAACTAATCTTTCACAATATATTAATATTATAAAATATATATATATTTATTTTTATTTAAATACTAACAATATTTTAATTCTTTGTTTTTCAAATAATTTTAAATAATCAAAAAATTTCAAATTTTTTTTTCATAGATCACCCTAGTCATAGTTTAAAAATCCGGAAAATTGTTTAAATAAATTAAAAAAAAATCCAGAAAAAATCTGGTATTTGTTTTATCTTAATTTCTTTTTAATTTTGTTTTTAGCTAAATTGTTTCAAATTTTTTTTTACATTTTTATAATTTTTCTATGAGTGATGAGTGAAAAAGCTTAAAAAACAAATATATTACAAAAATATATATTCCAACTTGCATGTATTGAATATGTTTTAGATAACCGGAAAAACTAAAAGTTAAAAAAAGTATCCGGAATTCCGGAAATAGCTGGAAAAAGATAATTCCTGTTATTTTGATATTTCAAATTACTTTGTGTCATTAGTGTCAATTTTATTTTGTTAAAACTTAATTGTAAATTATGCATAGTTAAAACTTAATTGTAAACTAAGCGTAGTTGTAAAAATATGTGGAATATATTTTTACAACTACATGCACGTAGTACAAATTTTGGTTGGTAAGATCCTGTTGATACAAAAATAACAATATTAGATTATTTTAATGATTTTTATTAACTTCATTGATCAGCAACTAGTAATAAAGCTTATTGAAGGATCAGTAGTAATACATTGAATTGGTTAGGATCTTTATTACCGCGTTCTAAAATGCTTATTTACTTTTTGTTAAAACAGTCAACATAAAAGTTAAAGCAAAACGCCATGGTTGTTTATTGGTTTAAAGATCTACAATAATAAATATTGAAAGTAAGAGAGCTAAATTGCAAAAATAATTCTAGAAAAATTTATCAAGCAAGAATATCTTGCAGCTTTACCAAATAACGGAGGTCAAAAACATTTCAATTTTTTTCTTCAGGTTATAAGTGAATTTAAATCATTTTTTTCTTTAAAGTAATTTACTACTAATCTTTTTTATGTGTTACTGTGAAAAGTAATTTATGCGAAGTAATAACCATTACGTATTCATTTTCTTCGTCTAAAGAATTTGAGGTACTGACTAATCCTCCAAATGACAAGCAAGCATCATCTGAAAAAAACAAGTTTTTTTTAACTAAAATTAAAGTTAAAAAGTTAAAGTTATTAATACTTAAATTATTAATCAGGGTTTCCACGAGAAAAAAAAATTGAAAACCCGGACATTCAGGGACAATATTCATATTTTTCAAGAACATTTGTCTAATTTTTTCCAGTACTTATAACAAAAAAATTATGATTTACAGGATCCTCTTTCACTTAGCTTTTTTTAACGGTATCAAAAATAACAACAACAAAAAAAAAATGTCAGCATTAGCTTTTTTTATTTATTTATCATATATTTAATCAACACAAAAATAACACAAATTGTCTACTACTTAACTAGATAAATGTAAAAGATTATTGAACAAAAAAATAATTTTATTTAAAATTTTAAACTTATTTAAAAATATGAGTATAGTTGACTTATATTTTTATGCTTTTAATTATAGCTACTAAAAACTGATATTTATAATTTTATTTAGGAAATAAACAACAAAATTATTTTAACTAACTCTAAATTATGTGGAAAAATATATATATTTTTAAAATTTTTTAGTCATATTTTTATCAAAGAAGTCATTTCATTTAGCAAAATTCTATTCAATCAAAGAAGTCATTTCACGTAACAGAATTCTCTTCAATAAAAGAAGTCATTTCACTTAGCAAGATTTTCTTCAATAAAAGAAATCATTTTAATTAGCAAGATTCTCTTCAATAAAAGAAATCATTTCAATTAGCAAGATTCTCTTCAATAAAAGAAATCATTTCAATTAGCAAGATCCTCTTCAATCAAAAAAGTCATTTCACTTAGCAAAATTCTCTTCAATAAAAGAAGTCATTTCATTAAGCAAGATTTTCTTCAATAAAAGAAATCATTTCATTTAACAAGATTCTATTCAATCAAAGAAATCATTTTACTAAGCGAAATTCTCTTCGATAAAAGAAGTCATTTCACTTATCAAGATTTTTTTCAATAAAAGAAATCATTTCAATTAGCAAGATCCTCTTCAATCAAAGAAATCATTTAACTTAGCAAAATTCTCAATCAAAGAAGTCATTTCACTTAGCAAAACTCTCTTCAATAAAAGAAGTCATCTCACTTGGCAAGATTCTATTTAATCAAAGAAGTCATTTCAATTAGCAAGAAGTTGATAAGATAATTTTTTTGATACTCTCAACTAAATTTATATTCATCGATAAATTTTAAATTTCATAGTATTATCTCTCAGCATTTTAAAATTATGAACATATAAAGTTTAAACCCCCCTCAGTTTGAATGGTTTACAAATTTTATATGGTTATAAATTTTGAACGCTAAAAGATAATCTTATGAAACTATAATAATAATTATAGCATTTTGTGCTGTATATTCGTGTAATATTTAAAGCACCATTTTGAATATTTTTAACTAGTTCAGTTTTACATAAACATCGTTTGAAAAATTGTTTTTATTCAAAAAACATATTTTCAATAGAATTTAAAATGAAAGAATATGGAGTATCTCATTATGAACAACAGCAGCTTTATGGAAACAATCATTATCTAAAATTAATTCAACAATTTCATTAACAGTTTATTTTGCTTATACTAGACAAATAAAATATAAATAAATTTCTGTATTTAGTGCTCTTGTTTGTACTACAATGAACTAAAAATGGAATTTTATTTCATTGCACAACTGACGGAATTATTTCTTAACTGTATATTGTTCACTGTTTGCGTAGCCCTTTTTCCAGCTAAAGAACTTTCTCTTCTAATTTCCATTGAAAGACTAAAGCCTACTTCATTAATAAAGAATATTATAGTATTATTCATTGTGTTCATGAATCTTTTTGCATAAATAGCTCTTTTATCAATAAAACTTGCATTTTGCTATATTAGAACAACTAACTGAAATTTTTGTTCAAATCTTTGTTTAATTTAATCAAAAGTTATTCCGCAACCATCATTATTTCAATTTTTGATTAGTGTCTTGGATTGTCAGTTAACTTTTTGTTTCTAGAACCACCTTTTAATTGCCATTCTATCAGCAAATCATTTTAATATCTTTTAATGATTAAATTTTTACTATGAATACTGATATTCGCAATAAAGAGACTATAATATTTTTATAAATATTTTTATTTTCTAGATCAAAAAATAAGACGTTAATTGAAAGTTTGCTGATATTTTATTATTATTGGAATATTAAAAATGTGGATATTTTGTTTTGGCAAATAAAAATAATTGGTAAATAAAAATAATTAATAAGGCAATTAAACACAATCATTGTGGTAACTTGAAATAATTAATATTCACATGATTTACTTTACAAATATAGTTTATGTATATTCAAAAAATTATTTTTAAAACCACATTCATAAGTTCAGTATCCACTTTAATTATTTTAGAATTATAAAAATAGCCACAATAATTATTTTATTAGCCTGATTAAATACAACTGATTAATATTTAACAAAAATTTTTATCTTAAAATATGAAAATTTTTATTCAAGATAATATGTAAATTGTTGAAATGTGATGTAACAGTGTCAAAATTAAATGAAACAATGTCAAAATGTACTGATACAATGTTGAAATTTAAATGGTGTCAGAATATGGTGGGAAACCCTGTATTTTGAAATAATTAAACAAGAAATTAAAACAAACTTACTAATATTGTATTTTAAGCCTGTTGATGTAACATGAGGAATTGGACATCCTATTGGTATAAGACCACACATTGCTTTTTGATGGTCACTGTGTTTTTTAATTAAATTTTTTCCCTGTAAAAGATTTGAAAATAAATAATGTTATAAAAATTAATTTTTACTTTAGTTATAAAACCTATTAAATCTCTAAATTTTATATTTTTATAAAACCTATTTAATCTTATATTTTTATAAATAGTAAATCTAAATAAAAAGTAATGTGTATAATATTACTTGGTATATTATACATATTCATACTCATAGATTTCATAAAGTTAAAAACTCATAGATGAGTTTTTAACTTTATGAAAATCCTGTAAATTTTTTAAAATGAAATTCCTGGAAAAACTTTAAATCAACGAATTGATGAAAATATGTGGGTAAAGTCTGGAAAGTTGGTAAAAGGATAAATAAAATAATTAAAAACTATTGAATAATTATTATTATTATTATTATTATAGTTTATGCTGTAGCTGGTAGAATCGCCAGCAAGTGGCAGTATGAATGAAGCAACTAGCAAGTGTGAATCGCACACTTTGACATTGTTATCAAATATCAATAAAAGTTTTCATAAATGTGTGTAATTTGTCACTTATGTATTGTATCATAAATTTTTTTTAATTCCTTCAAAGATTTTGCGTTAACAGCATCTGCCGGCAGAGAATTCCATAACGGTGGGTTTCTTATTGTTAAGAAGTTATGTCTTATTGTATTGCTAATAATTTCCCAATCATATCTAAACTTGTGACCTCTCATGTTTAAATTTTTAAATAATGGTGGATTGACAAGTTCAACTTTTTCTATTTCTTTAAACATTTTGTACATCTGTATCATGTCTCCTCTGGATGTCCTCTGCTCCAGGGTTGTTAAATTAAGTTTGACGAGACGATCTTTTTAAGTTTTTTAGATTAGAAACTATTTTAGTTGCTCGTCTGTGAACTTTTTCTAAATAACAAATATCTCCTTTTATATTTGAAGACCATACTGTGGCAGCAAATTCAATATGCGGTCGTACAAATACTACATATAACAACTTTATTAAACTAACACTGTGATGTGCAAAAGATTTTTTTATTTGTCCTAAAATTGAATTTGCTTTTAAAGTAGATAATTTAATATGTTGTTTCCATTTAAGATCATTGGAAACTTTACTCCTAAGTCTGTAACTGTTTTTTTAACTTATCTGCCATCTATTATATAAGAATGAATTTAGTTTTTTGTTCCGTAATGCATAACTAGGCATTTGTCAAAAGTAAAAGAAATTAACCATTTTTTTGACCAAGTGACAGTGTTATCCAAGTCAAGTTGAACTATTTCAACTTTTTCTTTATTTTCCACTGTTAATAAAATCTTGGTACCATCAGCACAAAATTTTTGTTACATTTTGAAGGCAATCAGGCAAATCAGTAATAAATATCAAAAATAACAATGGTCTGAGCACGGATCCCTGAGGTACACCACTTGAAACATTTTTCCATGTAGAGAAAACATCACCTTGTTTGACTCGTTGATGCCTGTTACTTATAAACCCTTTATCCACTCTAAATGTTTTCCGCTTACACCATACGCCTCCAGTTTCAAAATTAAAGGTCTTTGAGGTATTAATTGCCTTAGCAAAATCAAGATAAATAAGATCAACTGGTCGTTTATTTGCTAAAGAGTACAAAATGAAGTCTAGTATTTCAAGCAGACTTGCTGTACATGATTTTGATTTCACAAACCTGTGCTGTTTTGATGATATTAAATTAGTGCTATATAATGATTTTTCTAAGGAGGCTTTTACAAAACTTTCTAAAATTTTACACGGAATTGAGGAAAGAGAAACTGGTCTGTAATTTGATGCTAACAGCTTGTTGCCTTTCTTAAAAAGAGGTATTTCATCCACGGATCAAAATTGTAATGGCAGTATGCCGGATTGTATAGATGCTTTAAAAATTAAGGTTAGTGGAAAAGCCAGTGAATCGGAACAGTATTTCAAAAGTTTTGGATGAACAAGGTCAGGTCCCATTGATTTATTACACTTTATGTTCTGTAGTTAACAGTTTCAATTGTAATTGTAGAAAAGTCAAAATTAATTATACCATTAAATCATGAGGGGGAAACGGGTAGTCGTCCATCGCCCTCCATTGTGAAAATAGTACGAAATTTGTTGTTTAGTACATCAGCAATTGAAATTTGATCGTTAAAAATTCAAAAACAACCATTATTATTTTTAATAGCTTTTATAGAATGTTTTACAGTTCTTTGATTATTAATATAGCTATAAAGGATTTTAAGATTTTTTTTGGACTTGTGAATAAGGTTTTTTTCATATTGTTTTCTGGCTTTCATAGTTAACTTGTTTGCAGCATAGTTTGTATAATAATTTTAAGTTTTTATTACTCTAGTTTAAAGCACAATTTTTGTATCTTAAAACCGTTTTATAGAATAGTACTTGTTTCTAAAATGTTTTCATCATTCATTGTAAAAATCAAATGTAAGGTATTATTAACTTCCTCTACGGATAATTAAAAGGTAGGAACAGACACATACTCTATAAAATATACGTCACTCACTAAATCATTAAATTTATGCATTATAGAAACATCGTTACTTTCAATAAGTTGTACATTCAACCATTTTATATTTGGAAAATTAAAATCTCCCATTATTAGCAAGTCAACAATGCCTTTCTCATTGATAAATGAACTTACAATTGTGAAGACTTTTTTTCAAATTATCGATATTTATAAATTCTTTTGGTCTATATATACAACCAACTAAATACTTTGAATTCTCTATTACAACTACAACCCAGACATGTTCTAAATCGCTTTCACATAGGTTTATTTCATGAGAACCAATGTTTATTTCACAAGAGTCAAGAGTTATGTTTCTCTAAAATTCTCTGAAATCAAATAAATCATCTCAAAACATCCCATCACAAACCTGCAAATCATGATAATTTATTTATTTTTAAAGTACAAATTAATATAAAGTATTGCTCAATTACAATAGAGAAAAAAAATATTGATGTAATGAAACTAATAATTCTAGCTTTTTTTTTTCTGAACCTTGTTTTGTTAGCTTTTTCTGTTGCATTTTACATTTTATTTTATTATATTAGCTTTTTACTTTCATTTGGTAGCCTCTTTAAAATTATTTCATTTTCATCTTTATACAGAGGGAGGTCCTGTTTTGATAACCAGAAAGAATAAATTTAGGTGAAAGCAGGCATCATCTCAAGCATAAGAGTGCAATCTAAAACAGACAACCACCAATGAAAAAATCCCTTTGCTTTGGAGTGTTGTATGTGACACCTATGATTTGACAAAATATTTCCAGAAATATACAAAGATCTGGGCTGAACTTAAAATCAATGTAGAAATCATCCACTAAACTTTCAAACAGCTTGCTGAAAAAAGAAGTAAACTTTTTGACAACATTGTGTACATTATGATAAATATTACCATCAATATCAAGTACTTTTAGGTGCTTAATACACAGGGGGGGACGTTTATTAATTTTTGGAAATTTATTTCACCCACCCTATGCTTATGAAGACCCCCCCCCCCCCCTCTAAAAATTAAAACATTTTCAATTTCATATCAAAAACAATCAGATTGTTTTTGATATGAAATTATCTCAGCATGAAAAGCCTCACCTAATCCTTCTTGCAGCTTATAATAAGCAGTTGTTCTGAACATTTTCAAAACACAAAAAACTTTAGACATTGCATCTTCGTATTCAATCATATGGGATGGTAAAGATAATGGAAGATTATGTTCACAAATAAATGCAAGTGTTATAGCTTCTGCATTTGATGTCTGGTCATTAAAACTTACAATAGTTTTAATGGTAGGATTTAATCTATTTGTGCAAGTGCTGCCAATATGCATGTTGTCTGGAGTGCCATATGGCAATAAATATGAATCTATTTTTTATAAATTAGTAAAAAATGACAACAGTATAGCTTTGTTTGACCTAATTGTTGCGTTGATTTGACAATGTACTTTAGATTTTGAGTGGCTGAGTAAAGATTTTTTACCTTTCATAATAAAAGTATTTACTACATATTGTACAACTTACCTAAAACATCAAATCAAATAATATATAACTATGATACAATTATAAATTTTAGTATTCAGTTAGGAAATAAACTTACTGCTCCTGCTTTTTCTATCTATCTTACATACTTTTCATTATAATCTTTCTCATGAAGCCAATTTTGGCAAAGCATGTTTTAAATATTTTTGTCCATCTCAGCAATGTCAGATAAACTTTGAACTTTTTATAGTTTTCGCAATAACAAGAACTTTCTACAAATTTTTCCTTCTTTATAGTAATTATTGACAACAAAAACTTTCTTAAATTTTTTAAATGGAAATTACATCAATTTACTTCTTACAAAAATGAATTTCTAATATTTGAATAGTTAATTTGAATGGATTAAAACTTCATACAATTTTTTTTTTACATCTTGAGAAGTTATAGAAAGTTGCTTAAATGCAAACATTGTCATATTTAAAAATTTATATAATTTTATGGAACTTTCCAGAAACTTAAAGGAGGGTAATTCTATGTAAAACTGGGACAAAAAATTGAAATTTTTCAGTCACCTCAGATTTCTTTCAAATTTTACCTAGTGGTACCTATCAATGTAACATGAAAAAATGTTTGAGCTCCCAAATCCAAACGGTTCAAAAGTTATGGCATTTTGAAATTTAGCCTAAAACGCCCTATTTTTTTCCACATCCGCCATTATAGACTTTGGAGTAGTACTTTTTAATTAATGATTTAAGATCTTGTGGAAGAATGAGGCTAAAAATTAGTACCTGACCATTTTCAAGGGTGCTGAATTCAAAAATGTAGATAAAATAGTAAAATTTAAATTTTTTGATGGTTATTATTTGATTTTAAAATGGTCAGTCAAATTTTTTGTTTAGTTATAATGGGTTGCGCTTTTATTTACTCCTGGAGATGCCAAAGTTTCATGGATTTATTTTTTTTTTAAATGAAGTAGTTGATCCTAGGCTATTATTATAAAAAAAATGGCTTTGGTTTCTTAAAGCATTATAAAGATATGTCATTTTAAAACTTAGCCAAAAAGTTTCCTTATTTGGACTCAAATTTCTGTCATAGATTTTTTAGCAACTGTATATGTGTTAATAATTTAAGTTTTAGTGGAAGAAACTGACTGAAAATTGGTATCTTTTAAAGCTGCTGAATATAAAGAAGAAAAGAAAATAACCTAATGAACTGTATTTTTTCTTTTATAATGGTAAAAATTCACTTAACCCTAAAACGGGGTAAGGTTTTCATGAGTTGTCTTACTCTCATGGGTTCAGTTGTGATGTGTAAAAACAGTTTATTGAGGTTGGTTTTGATATATAAAAGAAGTTTTTTAAAGAGAATTGTAATGTAAAAATATACTTTTGCAATACCTGCTTTGATGCATAAATATAGATTTGTGACATCAGTTATGTCGTATTAATATTTTTTTAAAACACCAGTTGTTTAAGCTTAAAATTATTTTAATTTTAGATTAAATAATTATTGAATTTTGTTTGGTAATTCAGTTTCTTAGTCATTGCTAACAACAACCAACAGTACTCCATTGGAATCAAGCTAAAAAGTGAATATTATCTTGTAACATATACATCATTGCTTGGAATCGAATCTTTCAAAGATATTTCTTAAAATGAAAGAGAAATATCAATGTGGAGGACTGGGCTATCAATAATCAATGTCAAACAAACAACTTGTCCCTATCATAAACATGTTTATTTGAAGTGTTATGCACCTAAATTAACACGGTGCTGCAATCCATTCAATAGTTATAACAAAGTTATAAAAGGTATTTATAGTAATCACAACTTGTAGTTTTTTGAAAATGTTGTGAGTTACAATAATGAAATTCTTTGCAACCAAATTCTATTTTAGCTATATTTAACCTAACTTTTAGCCGACTTCTGAAAGTGCACTTTAAATGGTTTTATTCAAATTTTTATACATATTAAAAGAGTTCTTCTCTTTTTTTAGGCAGTCTTCGTAAAATCAACTTGATTACAGCAAAGTATTTATGCAGTAAAGGCAAATTCGTAGTGCCAGGCAAAAAACTTTGTCCACAATGCAGATTTGCATCAATTAAAAAATCAGAAGAGAACGAGTTGGAGATAAAATTAACTGAAGAAAATATGGAAAAAGAAATTATACTGGAATCAACAAGATCATTGCTCAACAGCACTTTGTGTGAACTTGAAGTGTCAAAAATTCATTTACCAAAAACTTCTAACAAGCCTTCACTTGGAAAAAGAAAGGTAAAGCTATCTAGCTATATAAAGCATTTCAAAGAAGCAATTAGTATTGATGAGGCTATTGTACTAGCAGATTTTGCAGAGAATTACACTTTTGTAGTACAAGACAAGATAGAGAGTTAGGAGCAAGAGCCAATGTTCTCTTCATCCAGTTGTCATCTACTACAAGAAAGTAAAATTGGAAATATCTTCTTTTTGTGTGATTTCAGATGATTTGAATCTTAATGTTGAAATTATCAATGAAGTTATGCATAAAACCATTAATCATATAAAAACTCATCTTTGTCCTGCAATTACAAAAGTCATTATTTTTCTGATGGCTGTGCAGGGCAGTATAAAAATTGCAAACATTTTTACAACTTATGTCACCATGCTCAAGATTTTTCTGTTTGGTGCATCTAGAATTTCTTTGCAAAAAGCCATAGTAAATCTCCATGCGATGGAATAGGTGGCACTGTTAAAAGGCTTGTTGCAACTGCTAGCTTGCAGAGTCCAACCACAGGTCAAATACTCTCTTCTCAAGCTATGTTTGAATACTGATCAGTGGGATTACATTTGTGTACATCCCTGCTGAAGAAATGGAGCTAATAATAATCAAACTTACTGATAGACTTTTAATAACAACCACTATTCCTGGGACAAGAAGTTTCCATCTAATTATACCTTCTTCTCATTCAATTATAAAAATGAAAAGGGTATCAGATGATGATGATTTTGCTCTAATATTTGACTTCAATAAAATAAAAACATGAAATTAATAAAATTTACAATGTTATGATATCACAATACCTATTTTGCAAATACGACAACTTTTACTGGCTTGGTATATTTTCTGAAATTAATAAAGAGAATGATGATTTTATGGTAAAGTTTATGCATCCACATTATCCAAGTCAGTCGTACTACTGGCTAAAGCGAGTTGATAATTGTTGGGTGCCAAAAATGAATGTCATTTATCTTGTTAAAATGCCATCAACATCTTCTGGGCGCCAATACCACACCTCAAAAGAAGATGAAACTATATTTGAACAGCTTTTACTCTGTCAGTGAAAGTTGATGAATATTTTACTTTCTTTATTTAAATGATATAAACTTCAATTTTAGTAATATTTGGTTATTCCTTTCTTTTTTTGAGCTTTTTCAATTTTTTGATTTTTTACTATTTTTCAAAAAAGTTTGCATTTTAGTTTCTAAAATTTTTAAATTCTATAATGAAGAATAGAGATTTTTTTAATCTAAATTAAAAATAAACCAAAATCTTTTTTATAAAGATAGCCTAAGATCACCTACTTCATTTGAAACAAAACTGAATCCATGGGACTTGGGCAACTCTGGGAGTTAATGAAAAGGCAATCCTTGGTAAAAGAACAAAATATTTGACTGACCATTTTAAAATAAAATAATAAACAATAAAAAATTTAAATTTCACTATTTTCTTTATATTTTTGAATTTAGCACCCTCAAAAATGGTCAGGTACCAAATTTTAGCCAGATTATTCCACTTGATCTTAAATTATTTATTAAATAGTACAACTACAAAATCCATAATGACAGACTTGACAAAAAATGGAACGTTTTAGGCTAAATTTCAAAACATCATAACTTTTGAACCATTTGGATTTGGGAGCTCAAATTTTACATTTTTTTACTTGACAAAAAATAGAACCTTTTAGGTTGAATTTCAAAACGTCATAACTTTTGAACCGTTTGGATTTGGGAGCTCAAATTTTACATTTTTCCATGTTTCATTGTTATGTACCACTGGGTAAAATTTAAAGAAAATCCAAGAGGTGATGGAAATGACTGTCCCAGTTTTAAATGGAATTCCGGGAATTACCAGAAAAAACTCATCTATGGAAAAAACAATATTTTATATCACAAAAAATGTAAATAATAAAAATACAAGAAATACATACAGGCTTTAATAGACACATTATGTCTGTATCTGACATTATATACAAAGTCTTCTTATTATCCACCATATAAAGGGTATTAATGTTAGAAAACGTATGATCAGAACGCCCTCCAATAGCTGGATATGCAACAATCAAATCATACTAAAAAAAAATATATAAAACAGTTTGAGGTCGACAATTTATTGCTGACCTCATTTTTCCTGATTTTGAAGGTTGTATATATATATAATAAAATTACAATCATTTTATAACTTATATTTTGAACTTTAGAATGTCTTTTTTTTTTCCTAAATATTTGTATTAAAATGTTACATAGAAATAGATCAATCAGAATGACAAATAATAAATTTATTTACTTTGTTTTTACATGCTTTTTACATGTTTTTTATTACAAGACTGCTTGTTTAATAAAGATTTAAAATGCCATTTACATTCAAAAGAAACTATTAATGCATCAAAATTACTATTAATGAATTACTATTAATTAATTACTATTAATGTATCAAAAATTTCAATACTATTAATGTATCAAAAATTTCAATACTATTAATGTATCCGAAATTTCAAGAACCTGAATATTTTTTTCCTGGCAACATTGAATTCCAAATAATGTTCCTTTTGTAAAATCTGTGTCATTTTGGTCATCTAAAGATTTCACAATGCAATTCTAAATAAAAAATGTCTATTAGTACGAAATCTAAACATTTCACTTTAACAGTTTAAAATTTTAAAAATGAACAACCTTCCTTAGGAAATAATCTTTTACACTATCTCTAATAGAATCAAAATCGCCACATACTACATCTGGGTATAGACTAATAAAAAATTTTAAAAATAAGCTTAAAAGAACAAAAAAATTTTCATCAAAAACATCCATTAATATATTTATTCAGTATATTTGAACATTCATAAAAAAGAAAACGACTCAGTAAACATATATTTATATAGATGTTTACTGACCTTATAAATATCTGTGTATGCTTACCTGACCTTAAAAACTTAGTTAAGTTGTACCTAATCTGCATGCATTACAGTTTCTGCAATGCCCTATTATTGGCTCAAGATGTTTGCCAACCTCTAAATACCTTAATCTCTTATTAACTCCAAACCATGACACCATGACAAACCATGTGACACCCTATGTTTAAAATTATAAAATAAACATTAAAAATTAAAAAGGTTGGTTGGCATATAGAAACATACAGCATAAATCATCAAAAGAAAAACCAATGACAAACATTACTCGTTAGACAATTTTGGGACTAAGTAGAACAATGTAAAAATTCTTTAAACCATCAATTTCTGAAAACTTATTAAAAAACATTTCCATAATGTTTGAATAGATAGATATATATACAATTTCTCAAAATAGTGCAAATGTAGATCAACCTGCAATCTTTGCAGATTAAGATTTGCAATCATAACTTGCAAACCTCAAATCTTTACTTGTAATAACATTTCCACTCAATTAAACAAAAGCAAATCTGGGTCACAAAGTCCTGATAATCCAATTCTAATAAAATTTATCTACCTTAAAATATCTACTCTCTATTCTCTTGAATAGACTAACCGACTGCAAACACCTACTAATTAATGGAAATCAACTCATTTAATGCCTATATTTAAAATAGCTACTGAAGATTGTATTAATAAACAGCTATTACATTAGCTCTGTGCAATGTCTTTAAATGTATTTTTATTCAAATTTATCATTAATCACATGAAGCATATAACAAATTGCTTGCCACCTCTGGCAAACAATTCAAATTTCTTTCTGGAAATAGCACAATAAAGGCTATAACTCTAAATTTAAAAGAAGATTTTTGCTATGCAAAAAATGTCCATATTTGCTGGCTGTTTTGATTTCCAGAGGTGGAAAGCAACAAATTGCGTAACTGTAATTTTTTAGTAGTTTTTTTTGTGAACTTCATAAAATTGTTTTCTTATAATATTCATTAATATTTTAAGTGAAGTTATGAAGATATTAAAGATATTGAAGATATTAAAGATATTAGAATATATTTGCTTTCATAAAAATATTTTACTTACAAACACTCCTTGAAGCCTTCTAGTGATTGTGAATCATATAAATAATTTGAAGCACCATCACAAGACACTTTAAAAACAGCTAGAAAAAAATCTTTTAAATTAAACAAAGACTAATTTGTTTCTGATCTCAAATTTGTATTTGAAAATATCTTACTCATTATTCTAATGAGTTTAATTTGCCTTTTATCCCTACTGTTTAAATCTTATTTAAATATTTCATCTAAATATAACATTATGAAAAAATTTTTAAAAAATGTGTCATAGCATTCTGTGTTTGCACATCAAGATTGAGTTTTTGTATTTTGATATTAACAACTAGGAAGATAACCAAGAATTACCATACTTAAATTAGAGGTTTTTTATCAGAGTTTTCCTTCTTTTAGATAAGTTGCACTACTTCAAATAACTTTAAAAAAAAATTAAGAATTATATAGTCATAGGCATAATGAGGATGGGTGAGGGTGGAATGGAAGGAGAGCAGTCCTAATCTCCACCACAGACTTGAAAAAAATAAAAACAAAAAAAGTCAGGAAAAATATCTCTAGGCATTTTTAACCAACTACTTTTAAAACTCAAAATGCATACAATATGATATTCTCATGGATATAAAAATGAGGGATTTAGCTTTGAATTGAACACGCAGCACTCATTATCTTTTTTTGGGCATCACAAAATCTATCACAAAAATATACAATATAAGTCATTTTATAAATATGTGATGAAACATTCTTTATTTTAATTTATTTTTTCCTTCAGAAAAATGACAAATATTTCAGTGTATCAAAGCCAGTGTTTTTATAAATTACTGTTTTCAAACTAATAAAACAATGATATATTTTTGTGCTGTATTTCAGTGTTTTTAGAAATTTATTTATAATAATTTATAACTTATTGTGAATTTCGGTATTTTTATAAATTACTGTTTTCAAACTATTAGAAATAAAAATATGATATACTTTTTTGCCAGGAACTGTTGCACTACCTAAATATCTTCTTATTAGTTATGCTTGAGTTTTGTCAATTTTCTCTTTGAAAATAACTTCAAACAAGTTCAAATTTTTTGCTTTACAAAAAGATTACATTAGTTTAATCTCCAAAATCATTCTTGAAAACTCTTTAATAATTGTTTTCATTAATTCTTGAAAACTCATCACTTTGATAATTGTTTTCATTAATTCTTGAAAACTCATCACTTTGATAATTGTTTTCATTAATTCTTGAAAACTCATCACTTTGATAATTATTTTCATTAATTCTTGAAAGCTTATCACTTTGATAATTGTTTTCATTAATTTGACTGTTAAAATGAGTTTTAAAAATTTATTCTAGCAATGATAGAATCCATTGCTCATATTTAAATTCTATCAAAATTTAAACAAGATACTCAGACAGTTTAAATTCAAATGACAATATCGCAAGAAAGAATCTGCTTTTTTTTTTTAAGTTTTACAATTCTTATTTACATATTATGAACTGCAAATAAAGTAAAAAAATAACAATTTCTAAGATGTAACAGTGACATGATATGAATGATTTTATATGGAATGACAGCCATTTATGTCTATATTAAAATACTGTCTATTATGTCTAAATTCAGATAATTTGAACTTCCTAAAGTTAAGTGTTAAAAAATAATTAAACAATAGTTTAATGATAATCTTCTTTTTAAAAGATTATGAAGGAGAAGTAACAAAAACACAGGACATATTTTCTATATCAGCCTTTGTTTTTTGCACAAGCTATCAGTTTATTTATTTAAAAAATTGCTTATTAAATGCAAACTTTAGTTAAATACTTGTTACAGGCATATGTTTGTAACGTTAATGTTACAAGAATATATATATATATATATATATATATATATATATATATATATATATATATATATATATATATATATATATATATATATATATATATATATATATATATATATATATAACAAGCTGCATACCCATTTTTAAAAGTATACCCAGGAACTCCGCAATTGTTGAAAAAAATATTAACTTATAATAAAACTTTTAATAGTTTATATCATTTCCTTTATTATTCATCATAAAGGATCTAATTCGCAAATTATTCGATTTTTTGTCAGTCGAAATTATTTCATTCGTTATTATTACTATCATTTGTTATCATTTTTAAATATAATTACTATCATTTTATCCTTTGTTATCATTTTTTAATATCAAAAGCGAGAAGCTACTTGTTCGCATACCTACGGAACTTAGAGTCGGCAAAAATTAAGCATGTTTAGATAATTAATTAAAATTAAAACAGACAAGTAAACTTAGACATATTAAAGAAAAAATTAATGAATCTTAAAAACAATATGATAATTGTTTATAAATATGTTTCATTTTAAATGAAGAAAATAATTTTAAACGATCACCTTTATTCCATAAATTTGATAAAATTTCCATGTTTAACTTTTGGTTTAGAATTATCAACAGTATTCGAGATTGATCTTTAATAAAAATAAAAATTTAAAAAACAAAACAATAATACCTTCACAATTTAATAATACACTAAAAAAAAGAAAACGATGAAAGTTTTACCTAAACTTTTTAAAAAATCAAAAATTTTGTATTCACTCATTTTTATAACCGCCAAAGTTTAAAATAATCTTTTTAAAACGTGATTTTTTAGTTTGTTTACTCTTAAGTTTCATTTGTATAGCTTTAAGCAAACCCATTTTGACAAAGCACGCACAAAAAAAAGTTCAATGCGCTGAATAATAATGATGTTATCATTATTATTCAGCACATTGAATTTTTTCATTTCATGAAATTATTCATCGATAAGTTTTAAGTTTCATAGTATAATTTTTTAGCGTTTAAAAATTATGACCATATAAAATTTGCAGCCCCTCAACTTGAGGATCGTTTGAACTTTATATTGCCATATTTTTTGAACGCTAAAATATTTTACTATAAAATTCAAAATTTCTCAATGAATATAATTTCTAGTTAAAAATAGTTCAAAAAATATTTTTATCAATTTGTTGCTCTCACGTTTGGGGCTAGGGGGGAGGGGGTGCTAAAATTTTGGGTATTTTGTGTTCTCAGGCTATAATCATCGCAATTTTTTGCAAAGCATATTGCTGTCTTTATCGTTACGATTATTAGCCTTTTTCAAACCACGTCAGACCTGGAAACTAATAACAGCAACAACAACAAAAAGCAATATATTTATCAAGAATATAGATGTTTTACAATAAGCATGTTAATAAAAAATACAAATAAAAAAAAAATATGTATAGTCTATATTCGGGATGGTTCGCTCTATATAGCCTAGGTAAATCGAGGAGAGCGACCATAAGCAAATCAAAAACGAAAGAAAAACAAAAACAAAACAAAAAAAACAAGCTAGCTAATACATTCACATAAGGTTGCTATTATTTAACATTCATATTTATATCATATCTCATATAACTTCTTATATAATATTAATATAATATTAACTTCGAGGGGACATTTTTTTAAAGCGCAATATTTGTTTATGTTTAGAACTCGTTATTTTTAGACAGTCTAATTCTTTTCTTAATTATGAAGTGGTATTGCAGCTCGTATTTGTGTTTTAACAACTTTAGATCTAAAGATAAGGAGGGAAATCCTATAAAATCGATTGCCGAGAGATGAAAATATTCAGAATCTTTACATGAAGCTTTTTAAAACTTCTGGAATGAATTGGCAAAAAGGACATATATGTTCTGTCCATTGGAGTAGGAACATTAGAGATAACACCGAGCATTTACCAGACATTATTGTTCCTCCAGATCAACTGGAAAAGCTTAAAAAAAGAGTTATAAATTCGAAAAAAAGCTATATTAACGCAATTTCGACAACACAGAAAGCAAAGAAATTATTAATATTTAAAAATGCTTCAAGAAGATATAAAACTGCTTTATCAATAGCTCAAAATATATATAGTTAAAAAAAAAACGAGCTCTTGCAGTTCATACTTAAAAAAAAACGAGCTCTTGCAGTTCAAACTATGAAAAAAAAAAATAGAATTTTCAAAAACTGAATTAAAAAAACAACTTGAAAAATCCTTAAAAACAATTGAGTTATTTCAAACTGTTATAAAAGAAAAAGATAATTTTATAACCAAATTTGAAAATAAAATACTTAGCAAAGTGTAAAAATTCAAGAGTTAAAAGTTGAAATTATGCATCTTTCTGGTAGCATTGATAATTGGAGAGCAAAGCAATTTACCTTTGAAAATATTAAATCAAGAAAACAAACATTTCAATACTTATGTGGGGTATCTAAAGATATATACTTAAATTGACCAAAACAAAAAGAAGGGCACCAATTTTCTGAATGTGAAATACAAAAAAACTTCAATATTGCTGCCACCCAAATGTTGTGCCATATTACAAATATAGCATTTCCTCCTATAGGACCAAAATATAAATAATATAATTAATAAAAAAATATTTCAAAAAGATATATTGTTAAAAGTAAAAATAAATTATGTATGAATTGTAAAGTCGTTATCCTTTTTAAAGTTTAATAAAACAATTGATTTTTTGTATTTCTTGACTAGATTTCGAACTGGTTTCAGGTTTTCAAAGTTTAGTTCTTTAGCTTGCAATTTTTTACCAAGCAAGCAAACTTCTTTGTTTTCATGATAATTCCATTTAAATATTTTTGAATCGAATAAAATATTGTCACAAATGTCTAATAATATATTAATTTATAGATTATTTATTTCAATTAAAAAAAAAAATCCACTTTCAGACTCTGGATGATAAGATAACAAAATACCAAATTCAGCATCAGCGCAAAGCATTTGCAATTGACATTGTATATAGTAATGTGGAAATCGATCTAATGATTGAAGGGGTCCATCACAGTTCTCTGCCCTAGTTTTAACCTCCAAAAGCAAGCCACCAGCAGCAAGAGCATCTGGGCTTGCTCCATAGCGGATTTTTGTAGGGTGTGTAAAGAAACCACATTTAGTTGTTTTTGATTGGGAAACTTTTTCAAAATAAGATATAGCAGTTTTTTCAAACTCTACTCCTCTTTTAATATTTTTAATGGCTAAAAGTTTGTCATCTTCCTTTTTACCAGTTTTTACAGTGCCCCAGCATTCGATAAATTTGTTTTTACCCTGAAGTCCAAGTAAAAAAGGCAATCGAGTTCTAGTTATTTTAAATCTACGTAACTGTTCCCACCAGGGTTCCAGGAAGTGGGCCCGGGCCAAAAAAAACCAGCGGTTTTTTTCGGACGGTTCCACCCGAAAAAAACCAATGGATTTTTTCACAAGTGGTCTTTTTCAAATTTTGTCGAATTTGTTTTAAAATACCATATAAATTGGAAAATAATTACGCAATTGGTTTGATTAAATTTAATGCACTACTAAACTACTGAACAACTGATAAACAACACTTATAACAGTCAATCGTCATTTGCTTCTCGCAAGTGGCGATACACTTTGGCAAGCTTTGTCACTTTCTCTGTGCCCAAACGATTTCTTGTCTTGGACCAAATGTAGCCAAAGTTTGAAAAAATCCTTTCGAGAGAAGCAGACGAAACTGGAACACTGTGTAAGTTGAACACAAACTGGCAGAATGGCAATGGCAGAGCAGCATTTTCTGGATGGGCATCATGTTCTTGAGTTGCAGAAATTTTGGAAATCAATATTTTCCACCATTTTGCAGAAGAAAACGTTTTCACGACACTTTGTCTGAACATGGAGCTGGGATATATTTCTGTATCTTCTGCTGTGAAAGCCAGAACAAATGGTACAAAATTATGGTGTCGAATATTTAACCACTCTTCTCACTCATTCTGCTGTTCCATTGTGAGTCTTCTATTTCCTAAAGCAAAAATAGTATTTCTATGAGTTTCAGGTTCATATTATAATTATTATTCATTATCAGGCAGACCTCACCTACACACACTACACAGTACACACCGGCTACATCATGTGATGTTAAAAAGTAAAAACTAAAGTCACATAAAAAATAAGTTAATAACAAGACTAGCCTTAAATTGTCCAAAAATTTCAGAACAAATACCTTATATGTTTTGTAAAGCTATCTTTGTTATTTTTCATTAGCCTACCCTTTTTCCTTGGATCTAGCATGTAGGCTAAATAATGAAATGGCTGCATAGTTTCTAAGAAGCGTTTTCTAAAAAACTGACCATAGTTCTCCAAATCAGGGTTTTCTATTATATCCAGCCATATATCCACGCAATCAGACAACTTTGTTGTATCTGCCTGCAGCTAAATGGAAATGTAGCATGTGTCAATCACCAATTAGAATTAGAGCATAAAGAAAACTATTTTATTAAGTTAGCAATTTAGTATTTAAAGGAATATTTTGTCTTGGTACCTTATTTAAAGTTGCTGCAACAGCATCCAGTTGTTTTACAAGTTGCGTCGCCTCCCTGAATATGCCGACGTGATCCAATATTTTCTTGATGCTGTCATTAAAATGTTCTGTATGTTCTGTTTGAATTTCGAGATAGAGGTGATAATTTGAAGTAAATGTTCTCACACACTCGGCTTGTGAATTCCAACGACTTTCATTGGGTAACTGTGGCATGAGGCCCTTTTTCGCTTTCAGCCATCCCTATGAGCCATGAGGTAGAAAAAAAAGTAAATTACCATTCAATCATAGAAACTATAGTTGTTACTTATACTAAAACTAAACAATTACAGTTTATAATAAATTGCTTCATATCTAAAGACCTAATTTATTAATTTAGCAAGGTCAACAATTATAGCTTGCAACCAAGGCTTATTTTTTAACAGAATGACAAGACAAAGTTCCATGTTTGTTTGTTCTTACATGAGGTTGGTGTACATTCCTGAAGTACTTCTGCACTTCTACAATATGCTTCAAAACTGTCTGAGGTGTGACATCTTTCTCAACTAAGTTCATTAAATGAGCTGCGCAACCAAACATCAATATGTTGGGGTATGATTGTTGAACAATTTCCTTCATTTTTTTCATTTTATTCTCATTGTCTGTGCAAAGAGCAAACACCTGAAAGTTCAAAGTATGGTACAGGATCGTGATCAGTGATACTTCATATCATTATGTTACTTAAAAGCTATAAAAAGTAACATATTTTTACATATATAACTTAAGAGAAGCAAAGTTTTATGAATTTATGCATACCAAAAATGTTAATATCTTTGCTACAATGCTATTATTTTGAAAAACAAAAGAACTTAGCCTACCTCTTTTCCGTATTTCTCCTTACACATTTTGGTGGATTGAATTGCTTTCTCAGCACAGAATTCGGCCGTCTTTTTTTCATGGCCACAATCTACCGCTTCCAATAAAAAAGCCTTGGAACCCGTGTGTATGGACGAAGCAAGGATTGGGTCATATCGGACGCTTGACCAACCATCCTGTAAAATTGTAATGCAGCAGTTACTGTGCTGCAGTTCAAGCTTTAACTCGGTATCTACTTCTTCACTAACTTTGTTCAGTAATGAACCACCTAATGACTCAGGATTTGGTGGCTTGTATCCAGGCCGCAGAGCTTCTACCATTTCTTTGAACGTCTTACTGCTACTGGTGTTGAAAGGAATGTTGTTAGCATAGAAATATCTGGCCATTTTCATATACTAAATTTCATTTTGAGCAGCTGTAGTTTTTATTGAAAACTCATTCATTGTGGTTTGCAAGCGTCTTTTTTTACTACCTTGTGTTAGTTGCGTAGCTTTGGAAGGTGTAGTTACTCTAGAATATGTAGTCGGACTGGAAATCGATGGTGAAGAAGCCAAGTCTTAGACTCTACACTCTCGGATGTTATTGAGCATAGCGACATTGCATCATTTATCTCTTTTTTCTTCCTGGTCCCATTCTTATTCTTTTTTCCCATATGCATTACCTGTTGGTCCGTTGGATAGAAATTGGATAGAAGTAGAAACGCTTTTAAAAATTGAAAAAGTCCGAAAAAGTCCGAAAAATGTCCGAAAAAAACCACCCGGCCCGGTTTTTTTCAATTTTGTCTGGTTTTTTTCAAACCCTGGTTCCCACTCTTCAGTATTTTGTGTAACATTTATATAATTAGCTCCTAGTGGTTTTGGTGATTTTAAATATCTTATGTCTGTATGAACTTTTGCTTTTGGGTTAATTTTTAATAGTTTCTTTATGCTATTTCTAATATTAGGTGCATTATTGTCTTTGTCATCATTAGTGGACTTAATTACTTCAATAGGTAAAATATCTTGTACCAAAATTTCTTCAGAGCTTGCAATACTAATTTGTACATTAAAAGCAGAAGAATTGTCGAAGTTTGTTATAATTGTATTAATTCTCTGTAACTTAATTGTGTCATCAGATAATATTGTTTCATCAAACAAAAGTGTTTTTGTATAATCATGATCAGCAAAGCAAATTGCTTTTTTTTTTCAAAGATGAAAGTTAAATGCTTTCCTAAAGAAAATTTTTTACCACTATCATATTTAGAAAGAACTGAATAAAAATGTTCACTAACAGGCTTCTTCTTTTTGAGCTTTTCTTTTAGTTCACGAGATATGTTAGAAACATCACGTTTAAAATACGAAGCATGAGGGTTAGCAGCAGAGCATGTAATAGTGCCATGTTTTTTTTTTTTATCTTTGCTGATTTTACTTTAATCTCTTTAAGAGGCATCATAGGGATAGAACCTTTTGCAATTCTTTTGTGCCATTTTTGAAGAGTTTGTGTACAAGTAAGCTAAAGCATTTTTTCTTTTGTAGATGTGTAATGTTGTAAAAACAAAAGTAAACATAATACGTGGCAACATAAACCACTTGAACCAACTGGACACGGGCAATGTGATTTGAAGGGCACACCATTAACGAATAAAATAACAGCAGGTCTGGCATTTTTTTATAGGATTTTTTTACCATTACTTTTACAAAACTGTTACTCAAGTCAGCTTGAAAAACTTTCACGTTTACTATTTTTCTGCTTTGAAGCATACGTGCAGCTTTTTCTTGTTGGCCAATACTTCCCTCGTTTTTATGCAATAAGTATTTTTTAAATATCTTTTAGTCAACAAATGGCATTTTAGAGTATTCTATTTCCCATTTTGCAGAATTCGGTGGTACTATCGAAGGATCTAAACTGCATTTAAATTTAAAATTTTTATCAGCCCTGCTCTTAATTTTGTTTAGCAAATTCGGATATCTATTAAACTTCTTAATTCGATTTAGCAGTATATCCTTTGTGCCTGAAGTGGGAAGTTGCAGTTTTTTAACCACGTTGTAGCTTCTTCTAATGTGAATTGATCAATTTTACATGCTTTTTCCATTATAAAAAAAAGTTATTATGATGAAATATGTTGATATTGTTTATAAAGTTGTTTAAACAAATATTGCGCTTTAAAAAAATGTCCCCTCAAGTAAATATTAGTTATCAGATCTGATGCTGTTTGAAAAAGGCTAATAGCTAGCTATTCGCTAGCCAGTAACCTGAAGAAAATTTTTATGGTTGTAATATTATGTTTTAGTAAATAGAATTATTGTTAAATTGATTTTATAATGCATTGTCTTTAGAATCAAAATGTCGCTTTTTAAATATTATATATATCCGATTCATAAAACTTTATGATAACATAGTAAATTGAAGTTATTATCTACATATATATGTAAATGTATTGTATTTTTGTAATTTAATAATACATGGTAACATATAACTAGTTATTTTGCAAAGTTATTTTTTTTTTTTACGAAAGCAGTAACAAATGGGGTCATAAGGAGCTACGTAGCCGAGTAACTAAACGTGTTATTAAAAAACATGTAAAAACATGTTGCCAATATTTTTTTTAATTACTTATGGGATGATAACAAAATTTTTTTTATTAAAATTATCCGCCCCTGTGTGCCCCATAATAAGCTGCATTGTAATTTGCGAGCTTCACGTGCTATTTCAAATGTGCTTTTTAACATGGTAGTTTTAATTGCATTTGTATAATAATTCATATAGTATGTGCAGATGCTAAATTTATTTATCACGTATTATTTTATTACACTCTGAATGAAATGTACATAAATAAAAACTATAATTAAAGTTTATTTTGACTAGCTTTTTCACTCACAAATCCGTATGATACATGCATGTACGTAAAATGCCAGAGTATATTCTATACCATTTGTGAATAGTATAATAAGCAGCTGTATCAGAAATTTAGAAAGTTATGTAACGTCTTATCGATAACAAATTTATAAAGTAAAGCAGATTGTAAAAGTTGTGCGTATACTGTAATTAGTTTTATGGCAAAGAGATTTTGAAAATTACATAATTGCTTGCGCTCCATCTTATTGTTAATGTGTGCAATACTCAGTGATGTAATCGTTCTTGAAAGATGAATGATTAAATAATTTTTATTGTTTATTACGTAAAATTGACTTTAATGTTTATACTGCGTTATATTGATATCGTATTTTAATGATACTAGGCGGTTTATTGAGAATAAGTTTGTATACACGGCATCATTATCGCTTGCTACTATTTGTTGGTTAGTTGTAAATGAAGAATTTTATAGCTTAAAAAGTTGCATCATATAAGTTGAAGGTTAATTATAAATTTTATTTGCAATAAATTATATTGTCTAATTTATAACTTAAGTTTATTTTAATCAAGAAACTAATAATGGAGAGTAATACAAATCCAAAAGATGATGAATTGATTCTAAACACTCTTTTTGACTTTTTACAGGAATCAGTGAAATGTGGAAAGTTAAATGCTTTATTTGATTAACGAAATAAGTAAATAACTTTTGTCTACATTCCTTGTGTCTAAATGCTCCAGTTATGGTATTGACAACAGCATAATTAAGAAGACTATCAATTTATTTTTACTTAATTTAAATACCAAGTGGAAAACAACATCTAAGACTTTTGATTGTTTTGTTCATCAAAATTCAGTTAGTCACAACCTGCCATTTAAATGCTTGCTTCAATTTCAGTTGCATCTTCTACTTTTAAACACGAACTTTATCATGAGCCTTCAACTTCCACAAATGTATCATCATCTTCCTCATTTACCTCTAAACGCGGACGTCCAAAGATTCCCGAGGATGAAGGAAGTTTATCTACTAAAAAAAGAAGGTCCTTAGAACTTGCTACATCTCATTCAACTGAAGTTCTGCTCAGTGCAGCTAGTGCTCGATTAAAGAACGAAGATAAAGTTGCAGAATCAAAAATTGTTCAGTCTGTTGCAAAAGGAATTTCTAATTTAAAAGTCACTATGTATACTGCTGATGAAGCTCTGGCTTTGCTATTAGATTGCAACTTCACAAAAAATTCATATCAGCATCTTAGATTGCAAGCTATGCAACATGGCTGCTGTTTATGCCCACCTTATAACAACATACGGGAATCTAAGGAAAAGTGTTTTCCATCTCTAATCGATCACACAGCAACAAGAATTTATCAACTTCAACAACCGGTTCTCGCTACTATTCCAGCTATTACAGGTTTAACACTATGTTATAAAATTGGGTTTGATGCTGCCACAGGCCAAAGTATTTTCAAACAACCACTTTCTAAAAATAATCCTAATACTAGAAATCTTCAAGCAGAGCAAAGTCTTTTTATAACTTGCATTGTACCATTAGAAATGTATGGATATGTGCAAAAAAAAAAATCATTTGGAGAAATCCAAGGTCCTCATCTACCCTGTACTGCCTGTTTGAGAGATGAAGAAGTTTTTATAAACCAATCAAACCTTCAGCCAACAATAATAGAAGACATTCAAATGAAGCATATTTTGGAAATTACGATGATAGATGGAAAAGTAGCTACAGCCTTATCCGATGTAACATCCTCAAGTCAGTGTTCGTTAGTATCCTAATACTATATCGCAGTAATCTAGATCTTCTTATTATTATAAACAGTAATATACTTGATGAGTCATCCACCTTTCATCTGCTAGAATTACTTCTTACTTCCGATCTTTTTTGGAAACTATATATCAAATCGATTGCAAAGTTAGCATCTATTAAGGTTGCATCTCTTTATTGTGCTTGTCACTTTCTTACTCAGGATTCTATTCTTTATCTCTATAAATCTCAAAACTGTCTGTGAATGGAATACTGATGCCATATCTGAGGCGGATCTTCCTTTCTTTTTTAGACAAGGTAAATAAACGCATTGCA